GGTATTTTCAGCATTCTTTGCCAGCACCACAACTCAAAAGCATCAACTCTTTTTCGGTCTTCCTTATTCATTGTCCAGCTGTATGTATTCCTTCCTATAATCTTTTTTTAATGTTCAACTATGTATGTATCCCAATCATGGTACTTACCCCCTTCTATAGTCCCACCTGTGACAATGATGAATCAATCTGCCTCCAATAATGACTTTGTGATGGTTTCCTTTGTTTTCAATCTCTCTCCTTGACTAACAAACTGTCCAAAGTGAACATGGTAGAGCCTAGATGAAGAACAGCTCTGGGATCAAACTCTCTTTGCAAGAATCCTGGCTCTGTTAGCTGTGAGCTAGTTCTTTCCACCCCTTGTTCCTCAGTTTCCTCATCTGTAAAATAGTTATGATGATGAGAATACCTGTCTCATCAATTTCTTGTGAAATTTTGATGACTTAATCAATGAAAAATGCATGACATATGATAAATGTTGAGCTAATTTTAGCTTCTAGTTTCCCTATAGCAAGCAAACTCCACGAGAATGGAAACCTAGTGTTTCCAGTTCAGTGTCTGACACAGAAAGCTCTTACATAAATATTGCTAAATATAGGTGTTTGTACTGTTTCTCACCACCCAATTCATTTGTTTAATTACACAAGTAATACATACATACTCATTCTTTCATAATTCAAACAAATCAGAAAATGCAATAATCTCACTGAAACCTGGCAATACTATTTCCCTAAGCAAGTTTGAGAAAACGCCAAAATGAGTTCCTTTCATCAGATAAACTGGTCCTCCAGATAAAAGTTCCTTCTCCTCCTCCCAGAGCAAGACCCCCTACACTCATTCCTTTTTATTTATTTTTTTTAGGGCCAAGTTGTATCCAATTCACTCTCCCTCTTTACTCTAACTCAGCCTTACCAGTGTCCCTCAGTCTCCAAGGATAACAGTTCTGCAAGCATCCATTTGAATCTATCTGTCTCCTACTTAGGCCAGAAGTTTCTAAATGTCTTTATTTTTCCTGGGGGCAAGGGAGTGCTGTAGGGATGGCCCTCAGGGCACCAAATGCACAGATTAGTAGTTTAGGCTATAACCTGGCCCAAAAGCAAAGAAAACAAGCAAAACTAAAACATTTTTAAAAAGAAAAAAGGCTGTTCTTCTTAAAAAATAGATACATGCAGCTCCACCTATAGTACCATAAGTGGTGCGATTATGGCTTAAAAATAGTTCCTATATCCATTTAATGCTGTTAACAAATATATTTCAATTCCACTTGCATACATAACACAGGTCATTAATGAAATAATGTAAAAAATAGCCTCGGGAAAAAGCATTGGGACCCAGAGGCACAAAACCAAAAGATTCTAAGAA